CATGAGCGTGAGTCTCGAGAGCGCCCACATGAGCATGATTCCCGAGAACGCCCACATGAGCGTGCCTCACGTGTAACATCAGCCGTCCACATGGGTTCGGCTGGGATATATTGGGGCTGCGTAGACAGTCCTTGAGTGGTACAGAGAGCCCAGAGTTGTGGGATGCTGTAGGCCTTTGGAGCTGTAGCGGTCAGGGAGAGGTCGCTACAAGTTGAGAGAGAGAGAAAGAGAGAGAGAGGGAAAGAGAGCGAGCGAGCGAGAGAGAGTGTGAGAGAGAGAGAGAGAGTGAGGACTATATGGACTATGTTCGAATGTCAGTTAAGATCAATGTCTACGTCTCTGCAGTTGTATCGTTGTGAGGGCTTGTAACCTGTCGAATAAACGTACGGTATGACAAAACTGCTGTCGTCGAGTCCTGCTTCGAGAGTGTGGGAGCGAAAGTGATATCTAAAGACACTTGGAAGTGTGCTGATTAGTGTGTAACTCAGATAGCACAAAATATTCTTCTTTTTCTTTTTATTTTCTTCTTCTACTTCATCTTCAGCATTCAGAGCCCATATTTTTTTTTAAGAATAGAGAAATTTCAAACTGCGGTTAAAACCTATCCTGGGAAACGGATGCAAGTAAAAATGTGAAACAAAATATTGCAAATTGCCATCATCATCATCAGCATTAAGAGTGCCCTGCCGACTAATGTAGCTGATCATACCTGTAACCAGTCTGCCATTTCCAACAGCCTTTTTTTTTTACATTGAACATCTCTAACTTGTATAGTATTTGATACAAGTATTTGTCTTGAGCATTAGTCTACTTAACATCAAAACATGTGCACAATATCTGCTTAACTGATGTTTTAAACGTTGTGTTTAGAGTATAATAAACAACGAAGTTACTAGCGCCATTAAAAGCCTCGAACACAAATGTTATCGTGATCAAGACTGAAACAAGATTTTGGTATTTGCCTTCAACGAAGAAACTGAATTCTGGGATGTACAGATTTGCCACGGAAGACGCAACCATAGTACACTTGGGTAAATTACACAATATAAAAATAATATTAACTGCAATCACAGTTCTTGTTATCCTTCTCTCCTTTGTTAGTTTTTTGGTTTTTGTTTTCTGCGCTTGTACTCTTTCTGAAAGGCTCTTGTCTTTCAGAGAAGTGTCCAGGCGTTTACCCGTAACTGCAAACTGACGAAATTTGTTGGATGCTTTCACTGATGATATCATCATCATGATATCGCAATTTTCACTATTAAGTCTTCATTTACACCCAAGCTTGAGAAAATTGATCGACTGGTTGTAAACATTATTTAAGGTCTTCGTGGTTTCATGTACCTTGTATTGACATTCATGTTTAATATTCACTCACTGTTTACTTTCAACATTTACTACTCGGTCAGAAGAAGAAAATTTTACTAGAAACAGGCCTTTGACAATCGTCTTTGTCGAATTGTGTAGAAAAATACTTTAGTAACTGTTACATTGTGTGGCTCTGTAACGTAGATTTAAGTGAGTTCCTTTCGCATTCCTCAACATTCTAGAATTTGATTCCGACTATGGCATAGACAGCCGACCGTTTAGTAAGCAATGGAAAGATATTGAATGTAAAATTGCCTACTCAAAAAATAAAAAAGAACTTTTCGGGGCCTCACTGTGGAGGAAACATGCATGTCAAAAAAGTCGACTAACTGTGGCTTCTTTCGTAGTCGGAATGCTTCTATCTGAGAGACGAGGAACCAACATTCTATCTGCATACAATTAAGTCAGATCTGTTAAACTGATACGCCACTCAGATTCTGGAACAAGACTGAAGTCCAGAGGTGGACAAACAACCAGAACTTTCCGCCAGAGTGTACAGCCAGTGAACGCGAAGAAGAAGTTGTGAAGGACCTGTAAAGTATACGTGCTAACTTTTTATGATGATGATGATGACGATGACCATGATGATGATAATGATACAGATGATGATGATAAAGGTTGATTGTTGTGTGCTATCCTGGGTGTAACAGCAATCAGCAAACGGTCAAGTGTCCAAAGATACAGTGCTCGCTTCCACACACACAACTCTCAGGAAAACTCAACGACGTAATTTCCGCCATATATGTGCGTTTATTGTCACCACACAGATGGTGGTCACAATACCTTACACGGACAATTTAAGCGAAGTGATGTAGACAAGCATATAGCGTTGTCTCCCGGACAGTTTGTACTCGCCGCCACTACACGCGAGCTGACCGCTACAGTTTGTTGGTCTACAACGACCCGCAACTCCGGGCTCGTTGTACAGATGAACTGGAAATCTCTAATATCAAAACACTAGTTCTCCTGCATTCGCACACAGCTCATTGGCCTCGTCGAAGGACTCTGATGACCAGCAGGATTCCTGGCTCTGAGTCCCCTTGAGCACATACAGCTATCGCCGGCATCTCTGCTATGTTGTTTCACTAGTTTCTTTCCCTTAGACTGCACCACGACCGAGACTCTTGGCGCTTATCTATGATCTGGCAACTTTTCATCGCCACCCGATAAGCAGACAACAAACAAGACACAATTGGGTTAATCTAGTCTGTTTATAACTCAGGAAAAGCGCCATTGTGACAGTTGAACTGATGTGAGAAGTTTATGAGGATAATTGTTTATCTCGTGCACAGATTGTCAGTTGGTATTTGCGATTCAAATGTAGTGTGGAAATGATTACTAATGCAAATAGACCTAGACGCCAGATTTACATTCGTAATGAGGAACTCATTACAAAATTCCAATAACGGATATAAAAAGATCGTTGTTCGACTGTGAGGATGATGGTAGATGAATTTGATGTTATTACAGAGACTATTCGTAAAATTTTAGTGCAGGATTTGGGCAAGAAACAAATTGCTGGTCGGTTGGTATTCAATACCTGGCAATTTGTTTCTTTTTTTATGACAATGCACCAGCCCAAAGGACGGTAGTTGTACGATAATTTTTGGCCCAAAACAGATGCGTGTTCTCAACTATCCACCCTATTCCCCAGCTTTGTCTCCCTGTCACTATTTTATGTTCCCAAAATTAAAGCTACCGTTGAAAGGACACTTCTTTGACAATATTGATGGCACCCAAAGGGCCGTAACATCGACTTTAGGCGCCATAACGATAGCAGAACTACAGTAGTCGTTGTAGTGTTTGTTAGGTCGTGCCACTCGCTATGTCAATGCACAAGAGGCTTACTTTGAATATAATACAGGTTTGTGTATCTGCAATGTGGTTTCTAGTATGAACTTCACTTTTTCTTTGTAATTCACCCAGCGACCCCTTTTGCTTGCGCCGGTGTTTCTCTTGGCCAAAATTGTTGCCTTGATATGTTGTATTTGGACAGTCTTTAAGGACTTAATGTCAAAAATGGTTTTGGCTTCCAGGTCGACGCAGCCTTGAGTGGATACCAGGTTCAGTCCTAGAAAGTAAACGTGACCGGCGAGGTGCTGACTTCGTCACCTACCAAATACCGATTGGTCTATACAATATAGCTATAGCCCTATATCCCATTACGAAGGTGGGAGCTTTTTTCGAGATAGGGTAGCGTATCTGCCACCCCCACCTTCCATGACACGTTTATTGAGGTGCTTTCTTGTTATTCTTTGCTGTAAAATAAGTTTGTATTTTTAAAGTGTTCCATTACTGGTATTTGTTACACAAAAGTTCTTCTTCTTCTTTTATTTTTCTTCTTTGTTGCAATAAGCTTTCTTCTAGGAGATGATGTGTCTATTGGATTATATTACTCACAGTCTAAGATGACATAGCTGTGACAAGTCGACACCGTCTCCAAGATATAAGACTGTTTATTGACATCTAATCACTTACATATATTGTCCCGTCCATGTCTTAATCAACAGCTTTCACGCAACACATTGTTTAGTGGCCAACACGCTGACTCCTCACACATTCACCAACCAGGGTTCGGCGTCTTCAGGTCCACATCGCCGCATAGATGGATCTGGTCATTGCATCTAGCTTCACACAACTGCGTTGGCTGGACTTTACTTTGATGGCTGTTATCGTCTAGTCTTTCTCTCGCAGCAATCAGTTTCACGTTCTCATTCGCACGAACACTTTCACGTCCTCTCGTTCTGACGGTCAACACATACTGTCCGATCAGACTGAAGTCTGTTCTTATACCCAGTGTTCGTTCCACGTGGCAACGCGTGGTTGTTCTTGGGTTCGACGTGGCGACCTGTGGTCGTTCTCCTTGGGTTCCCTGTGATAACAAGTGGTCGTTTCCTACCTTGAAAACCTCAGTTAATCCGAGTATCTGGCTTCTCTCAGTATTATTGTTAACTTGAGGCTTGCCCCACCCCCCACCTTCCCAATCAGGGTGAAAATATCGCCTATTACATTCTTCTTTTTCTTCATTTTCTTCTATTTATTCTTCTTCTTCTTTTTTATCTTCAGCATTCAAAGCCCCCTTTTTTTATGCATTGCTGTATATACCTCTCTCTTTCCAGCTGGCTACTCGAAAGTTTGTAGGTCTGCATGATTGCTACCTCTCCACCTTCTCCTCGCTAGATTGTTTACTTACATTCCACCCGTCAGTGTACCTGGCTTTGTGTCTATCTGTCATCTGCAATCACCAAAAGCCCTAACCATTGCAAACAAGCAGCCCTCGTGGTACCAGCAATTTGTGGTGATTTATAAATGTGAATTGTGTTGCTGCTTCTCTCTCCATTCTCCTCCTTAAATACATAAACATGCAAATAAATAAAAGAAGTTTGGAGAACACAAAAAATGCAAAATGAGTAGAAAGAGCCATTGTTAAAACCTATCTTGGGAAACAGATGCAAGTACAGATGTGAAAGAAAAGATTGCAAATTTTCATTATCATCATCAGCATCAAGAGTGCCGTGCCGACTAACGTAGCTGATCATACCTGTACCCAGTCTTCCATTTCCAACATCCCTATTATTTACACTGACTATCTCTAACTTGTATAGTATTTTATACAAGTATTTGTCCTGAGCATTAGTCTAATTAACATCAAAACATTTGCACAATATCTGCTTAACTGTCGTTTTAAACGTTGTGTTCATAGTATAATAAACAATAAAGGTACTAGCGCCATTAATAGCCTCGAACATAAATGTTATCGTGATCAGTACTGAAACAAGATTTTGGTATTTGCCTTTAACGAAGAGACTAAATTCTGGGATGTACAGATTTGCCACGGAAGACGCAACCATAGTAGACTTGGGTAAATTACACAATATAAAAATAATATTAACTGCAATCACCGTTCTTGTTATCCTTGTCTCCTTTGTTAGTTTCTTGGTTTTTGTTTTTTGCGCTTGTACTATTTCTGAAAGGCTCGTGTCTTTCAGAGAAGTGTCCAGGCGTTTACCAGTAACTGCAAACTGACGAAATTTGTTGGATGCTTTTACTGCTGATATCATATATATGGTACACACTGTAGCAGAGACACCGGACACAATGGGCAACACAGCAGCAAAAATAGTATTCCTCAACACATCTAAAGTGGTTGCTTCCCTAGAAGACCAGTATACCAAATGGGATGAGTTTAGATTTGTGTCGTAGACCCACTCTAATCTATTGTTTAAATACTCGGGGATCAACGCTGCTGTTAAGATAACAGTAAGGAAGGTAATGGTGACAATGGAACGAGACTTAGTAAAAATTAATTTTATAGTGAAAGGGTAAGCCACACAGAAGGATCTCTCGAGGGACATCACAAAAATAATGAGAACTGATATGGAATATGCCTTTTCCCTTGAAGCAGACACAAAGTGAGAAAATATAGTTGGATCCAGTATCGTGGACTTAGATTTGATTTTAATGAAGAAATACCCCACGGAAGACATGAGAACTAGTACGGAAAATACGCAGTCCGATACAGATAAAGATAAGAACTGAACCGTAGGGCTGTCTTTGACTCCACGGTTCAGGTAAACGATGATGTTGATAGTGTTGGCGATAATTCCAAACAAAGATATACAAAACCCTGCACCGATGTACAAAACGTCAATGATAATGTTCTCAGCACTGTCGTCGATCAACATGCTGGGAGACTGAATGTTAGTTCCTTGAGTAAAGTCGATACACTTTGTTCCCCCCATTTCTGAGTTATTCTACTTCTTCTTCGTCGATCCTTCTGTCGCAGTGGCTCTCAACCTTCCTAGTGTCGCGATCTTTTAATACAGTTCCCACTTGGTGTGGAGACCCCCAAACAGTTTTGTTTTCTTCATAACTATAATGAATATGTTTTTCGATGGTCTTATGCGACCTCTGTTAAAAGTCGTTCGACCAGGGAAAAAAAGGGGTCGCGATTGGCAGTTTGAAAACCGCTGTTCTTTCGGAATATTTATCCAAGGAAGCAAGTTGCCTTGATGAAAACTATCGCGTAGTCGAAATATCCAGGTGCACCATTAGCTTTCTCTTGACTGATGTGGTATCAGGCCAAATGACTTCTCTGTCAGCAATGTTCAGTTTAGTGTTGGGGGTTAATCCGGGACAGTTATTCAGCGGAAGTAGTGGATCTGGCTGACATTTTCTCTATTACAGAAATATACGAAGACAATAAAATATTAGATACCTCACATAAAAATTATTCATTATCATTATTAGGCGCCTCAATCACTGCCTTGTTGAATCATACTTCTTCACATCCTTTTTGTCGAAAAAAAAATTTGTCGTCGCTAATTCACCGCCTCTTATCTTATTTATATCTCTTTGAAAAAAAAATTTGCATATCTGTGGCAACGAATGCCAGCTTTGCTCTTCTTATAATACTGCAAAAACATTTTTAAAACGAAAATACAAGAAATTGAGGAGAGAACAAACCAACAGTAAACATCCACAAGACACCGTCAGCAAAATGCAAGATTTTCCGTCTAAGAACAGGACACTACAGGCTCAAGTACCACATGAAAAAAAAAAAAAAAGATTGCACAGTCCCCACAGTGTGCATGTCAGACGGGACCACAAACACTAAGTACATTCTGCAGACTTGCCCACTCTAAGTAAAAGAGAAACGTGTTCACTTACTTACTTAGTCGCTCCTCTTCTACCTTGGGGTGTAGAGGTTTGCCAGAGAGATCGCCAGACGTCTCTATCAGCAGTTTTCTTTCTGGCTTTGTTCCATTCCAGTCCTCTGTCAGTCAGGGACTGTCGGATGTTGTCTTCCCAGCGCACCCTGGGTCGTCCCGGAGGTCTGGTTCCCTGGTTCTTAGCCTCCCATGTTTGCCATGGTGGCCGATTTTCTCCCATTCTGCACACATGTCCAAACCATCGTAACTGTGACTGATCCACTCGGGTTAGTAAGGGCTGGGTATCAAGATCTTGACGTATTGTCTGATTGCGGACTTTGTCCCTTCTTGTCACTTGGACCACCTTTCTCAGGTATCTCATTTCCGAGGCCTGCAGCTGGCTTCTGTGAGCTGTTGTCATTGCCCATGACTCACACCCATAGGTCAGGACTGGTACATAGGTAGAGCGGTAAACAGCCATTTTCGTTCTCTTGCCAATTTCTCTTTTGCTAAGAAACCCTCGGTTTATGGCCTGGAAGAGTCTCCCAGCAGCTGCTTTTCGTGTAGCCAGCTCAGTCTTAATGCCTCCATTTTGGTCTAATACAACTCCAAGGTATTTGAACTGGTTAACCTGCTCCAACGCATACTGACCCATCATGATCTGGTGTTTCTTCTCCTCTCTTGAGATCACCATGGTTTTAGTTTTGGAGACACTGATGGTCATCCCTTTCTTTTCAAGCTCTTCCTTCCAGACAAGTAAGTTGGACTGAAGGTGTGCCTCTGATTTAGCTATCAGGGCCACATCGTCTGCAAAAGCCAGCTCTGATATACAGATTGGTCTCATCTTCCAGTACCCTACAGAGTACTTCTTTGTCTTCTCCTTACAGGTCTTGATGACATCATCCATCATAAGAATGAAGAGGTAAGGTGAGAGAATATCACCTTGTCTAACACCGCTGGTGGTCTTAAATTCGTCTGACTTTTGGTCTGCTGTTCTTACATAATTTCTGCACTTTTTGTAGAAACTCTGTATTGCACTGATCAGGGGTGCTGGGATGTTTTTCCCTGCCAAGCAGTCCCAGAGCTTGTTCCAGGGTACCTTGTCAAATGCCTTTTCCAGATCCAAAAAACATAAGTGAATCTCACTCTTATATTCCAGAGCTTTTTCACTCATCTGTCTCAGTGTGAAGATAAGGTCTTGAGTACTTCGGTTTGCTCTGAAGCCGCACTGGGCCTCGTCCAGCTGTGGCTCTACCAGACTTCTAAGTCTCTGCTCAAGAATTCTAGAGTAACTTTTACCGGGAATGCTGAGGAGGGATATGCCTCTGTGGTTTTCACATTGTCTGTTATCACCTTTTTTAAATATAGGTATAATGATGGCAATCTCCCAATCTTTTGGTATAGTTTTGCTACACCAGGCTGCCTGGAGAACCTTCAGTAGAAGGCGCTCACCTTCGACTCCCATATATTTGACCATCTCTGGTGTTATACCATCATGACCTGCTGCTTTTCCCAGCTGAAACGTGTTCAGTGTTTTCAAATTCTCGAGTTTCACACCCACACACACACACACACACACACACACACATATATATATATATATATATATATATATATATATATATATATATATATATATATATATATATATATACACTCATATTTACATACACACACCCACACATTTTTTCTCAAAATGAATCCCCAGTGTTTAAGTCACATTGTATTAATTTGAGTTTTAAAAACACTGACGTCACAGATCTCGGGATATTTTCATATGCGTTTCGCTCTCGTTTTCAGCAGCCAGCGAAGAATTAATATTACGATGGTACCGGTAACAGTTTGAATGTTGCGCAGCGTTTATCAACCCTGACATCCCCCCCGCCCCCCCCCCCCCCATTGTTCCAGCAGCTTATCCGAGGAAGAGGAAAGGCAGCTTATGTTTTGGCAGGGTAGACCAGATATTTAGCCTTGAATGGCAGCTAGTAAAAGAAGGAAGCTTCATCAGGCAGCCAGACAGAGCACTTCTTTTCTGACCCGACAGCGTCTGCAGAGTTCTTTGTTCAAAACGATTTGGTGTCACTTTTCCTTTCGAGTAAACAAGACAGATCCAGGGGTATCACGATGCATGGGCATCGCATAGTCTCTACAAAAATCTTTAGTCTTTTATGCTATGGAGAATGCTAACTGCAGTAGACTTTTCTTAACGCAAGAGGGTCTTGCTAGTTACATTCGCTATTTCCATGGGCTGTAAATTCCACACCCGTCCCCCTTTCCTTCCTTTTTGCAGATAGCATAATGTAACACTATCGTCTGTAAGACAGAAAGATGTGAGCTAGGAGCAGTTTGGTTATGTGTGCGCCTTGTTTTTATTTTTAGTGTATTATGTAACATTTTAAAACATGTTCTACCTACCAGTCCGATTACGTTTGTCTTCAGTGATCTACATTTACTATGTATCCCATCTATTCCATTTTAATTTCACACCCAGGATATAGTGCCTGAAATTGTATACACCTCAAGTTCGTATTGTCCGCATGCAGAAAAGAATTAGGCCAGGGACGATACATATGGCACCACATTAAGGTCCGGAAAGAATTGTCCGATATTGTGGACAAAGCCAGGATGAGGGGCAATGCAATGGCCAGTCCTAACGTCCCTCCCATGCCCTTTCTGAAGGCTGGACAGATTTCAAAAGGTACATTCAACAAAGTTGCATAAGCTCCATTTATGCTCGACTGTACGAGGGACTAGCTACTATCTGGTTTTGAAGGTTAACCAAATTAAACCGAAAGTCCGGACTGAGGTCAGATATGGTGTTGCACACTGTTGCTGACCGCCAGCTCGTCCTGATAGAGCTGATAGTGCCGCACGAGTCGCACGAATCGAATACAACAATCTGTACAAGCTCGAAACGTACAGTGAACTGGTAGTCAATGAGAGTAAAAATAAGGGTTACGCAATAAAGCTCATCGGCGTCAAGGTAGGCACAATATCTCCACCTCCACATACAATTACCGGAGCAGATGGGCTTGCGTGGAAACGAGCGTAAACGGGCACCAAAGTAACTGTGAGAAGCTGCTGAAAGAGCTTCAAGCTGGTTATGGACACACATTCACGACGTGAAGGATAGGCCTCGGTAGACTGGTCCGAGCACCTAGTGGAAAAGAACTTTAAAATCATTGAAGCCGAAGTTGTCGGATCAAAGTCTGCCAACTGCCGAAGTCTTTCCTATAAGCGTCTGCTGATGAAACAACCGTCCATTTGTCACAATAATTGTGCAGGTAGGCGCTTGAATATATATATATATATATATATATATATATATATATATATATATATATATATATATATATATATCGCCATGACCTCAGCACCTGTTGCAATTATCACCATAATTTCTGCGCGATTGTCTGATCAACCCAGCAGGAGAAGTCCGAGACCTAGGAGTCTTGACACAGGTCAGCTAGCCCCTCCCCCTCCCCTCCTCTCGAGATTGTTTAGGAGGTTAACAAACCGAAACAATTGCTGAAAGTGGGACCACCTACTGAAGATCGGTAGACGCCTGCTGTGGGGGTTCCCGCTGTGGAGCAAAGCAACTAATGTGGTGTGTGGGTGTAGATTTTCGAATTTCATGTCACTAAGGCCAAATTCTTCTGACTTCGACAGATAAGGTTTTTTCTTGGCGCTCCATCCTCCCACTCCCCATCCATTTTTTGTTTCTACTAAAGGCATGTTGCCATGAAAAAAAAAAAAAAAAAAATAGATGAGAGATACGAACTAGGAAAACCGACTGATGGCGTTACCTTTCACTCTCAACTCGACACCCCGCCAGTCTGCCAAACGCCATGTGTACCAAACCTCATCAAACAGTAACTAAACATATATGCATTCAGTAGGAGGCACTTGTGAACCACCAAGTAGCATCCGTATATCAGGATAAGATTGATTTAGCTCTTGTGAATTCTCTTACTCATCAGTATATGTCAACTGAGATAAGAAAGCTAAGTCTCAAGAACTAAATAAATCTTAACCTGATGTACGATAGTGACTCATTAACAGTTGTAAAGGACCCTTTCCACGCGTATATG